CTCCAGGCGAAGAGGTCGGCATTCTCACGGAGGCAGGCTTGGAGCTGACGTTTCGCGAGGTCTGGGAGTCCTGCGCCTATCCTCACGGTTCTGCTCGTGTCTTCCCCGAGGGGAATGAGTTCGAATTCTCCATCCGGGATGGGGCGCGCTGGGTGTGAGGGCTGCCCGTTGACTTTGTTGGTCTTTGTTTTATTGTCGAGTTCGTCGGTGAAGCGACTGTCGAGCTCAACGGATCCGACCAGCTCCGTTGGTTTGTCCTTTGGCGTAGCGCTTGACGCTTTCTTTTTGGTCGATGGAGCGATGGAGTCTAGGCCTTTCAGCGCGGCTTCGAAACATCTTCGGGCGGCTTCGATGTCTCCGTTGAGGGTTACCACGACTCCCCTTCTCGTGTAGTACTTCATCTTCAGGTGGACGGTGGAGGGTACCGCGGTGAGTTCTGCTATCGTCGTCCTGCCCAGGATGCAGTTATAGAGGGACGGGCATTCGATGACTAAGAAGCGGACACTGATGTCCCTGGCTGTTTCCTCTTCTCCGAAGGTGACTTTCAATTCCACGTATCCCCAAGGTCTCGTCGTCGTCCCGTTGAACCCCTGAAGGTCGGAGCCTACGTAGGGGGAAAGGTTGGATTCTTCGAGCTGGAGAGTTGTGAACAGATGTGAGTACATGATGTCAACCGAGCTCCCGTCGTCGACGAGGAGGCGCCTGACGTCGAAGTTTGCCATACGGGCACGTATGAGCAAGGGTATGTTGGAATTGGGAGATCCCCCGGGTAGTTCCTCGAGGTAAAATGTGATCGGGTTGGAGCAGCCTCGGAATTTGTCGAGCGTGCTCATTTTACCGGAGTTGTTCACGATGAGTTCGTCGAATTTTCTTTTCACAGATCCTATGGATAGACTCCTCGTGGCCCCATCAGAGATGACCATGGCTCTGGGGAAGTATTCCCATCGGCTGGTTGGTCGGATTGGCTCGTCGATTAGGTTGGGTCCTTCGGGGATGCTGAATTCTCTGCTCGCAAACCAATCCTCGGGGCGGCTGACGCACAACGCGACCTGGAGCCTGCCGCTGTCCTCTGGAGAGGGGAGTTCCTCGATTTTCTTGGCTTCCGGAGCCTCTGGCCTGGGTGGTTCACCTCCTTGGGTGTATCGCTTCAGGTGCCCGTCTTTGATTAGAATTTCGATCGCATCTTTGAGATGGATGCAGTCTTCCGTCACGTGCCCGTGGGTCCTGTGGAATCGGCAGTATTTTGACTTGTCCACGTTGGGTTTGGGCGGCGTTGGTCGCGGGAAACAGACACCTCCCTGAACGAACTCGGTTTTGGCGCATTCGGCCAGTATGCGTTGTTAGAACACAGATTGGTTCTTAATAATTACTCTTTGTTTTGATGATAACTGTTAGGAAATTTATATTTAAGAATTATATACTTTAAAATTTGTTTGAGAGTTTTACTGCAGATTAAAATTATATTGACTCTCTAGAAGCAAATCTGTCTTTGAATACAAGAAGGTATTCTGAATCTGAAGCGCCAGACGCATCTTACAGAAGAATCTACTTGCTCCTTACAGAAGATCCTGAGAGTAGTCTCCAGAAGGATCTGAAGAAAGAAGCTCCAGAACATTCTGAGTCAGAAGCATCTGAAGATAGTCAGAAGCATCTGAAGATAGTCAGAAGCATCTGAAGATAAAGCATCAGAAGTATAGAAGAATTTTGATTGAAGAGTTTCTCAAAGCATTGATCTACAGAAGTTTCTGAAAGTACCTACGCTGCCAAGTACTGAAGTTCTGTGTCAAGATGCTCTGATGATCAACACGCTAGAAGCACACACGCTGCAGAAGACTCTGATACAGCATAGTTCTGAATCTCATCAGAAGACTCTGATCTATTCAAACTCTGAAGAACTTGCTAAAACTGAAGAAGTGTTTTCAAGAATGTATCCGTTGGAATCATTCAACGTCTCTTTCCTTATTTGTGCTAGACACACTTACACAGACAAAAAGGATTTATCTGTGCCATCTATTTCAAGGAAAGGTCAGTACATGTGAAGACAAAAAGGCTCAGACCTTTTGGACTCTCTTTTCAACGTGGAAAATTCAGTTGCCTATAAAAGGAGCCTCTCACTTCATTCTTCAGTTACACACTCTTGAGCTATACACTTGCTGAAAAGAAACCAAATATTCATAAGCTCTCATTCTTATTCTTCATAGAATCTTTGTACTTAAATCTTAAGAGAAAAATCACTGTTGTGATTATAGCTTTATAGAAGCATTAAAAACTCTTATATTGAATTTACATTGTTTGTAAAGGATTTTCCTTAAGAGGATTCAGTGTGAATCAGTAGCTCTTAAGAAGACTAAGAACTGTAGTTCTTAGGTGATACTATTGTAATCAGGTTGATTTAATAGTGGATTAAGACCTTGTTGAGAAAGGCAAATCACTCTGGAAGGGTGGACTAGAGTAGTTGTTTAACGAACCAGGATAAAAATAATTGTGTGATTTATTTCTAGTATTATTTTTCCAAACTTATTCAACCCCCCCCCCCTTCTAAGTTATATCTCACCTTCATGCGTTCGCGTGAAGCGATCAAGGCTGTGTACTCTGTGAATCTTCCTGTCGGGCCGCGTGGTTCGCGTTGTTCGCGGAGGCGGTCTTCCCGACGACGGTCTCCTCCTCGTCGATGGCTCGAAGCTCCGTCGTCTCTGTGCCCGCGGGGGGCCTCTCTGTCTCGAGTGTCGCGAGCGGAGTTGGCCGTCTGTGTTTCCTCGAATCTGATGTAATGCGCGGCTCTGTCGAGGAAATCTTGGAGGGATGTGGGCCGGTGTATGCCTACGGCCTCGTAGAATTTGGAGTTGTGGCGCAGACCTTGTTCCATCAAGTAGCGTTTCATCTCGTCGGAAGTTGTCATCTGCACGGCTTCCCGAGTAAATCTTTCGATGTATTTTCGGAGAGGTTCGTCGGGGCCTTGGATGATTGCCCCGAGGACTGCTTCCGTCTTCGGGTGACGTCGGGACGCCGTAAAGTGCTTGGAGAACAGGTCCTTCAAGACCCTCCACGACGTAACTGATTCGGGCTCCAGACTTTTGTACCAGGTCATAGCGCCTTTCCTCAGAGTCGTCGGGAAAAGTCTGCACTTGATAGCTCCCCGGACGTTTCGGTAGTCGAGCATAGCCTCGATGTCTTCCAGGTGATCGTCCGGGTCGGAGGTGCCGTCGTATGTCGACAGCGTCGATGGTTTCTCCATCCCCTGGGGTATGGGGGCAGCCATGATCTCCCGGGATAGCGGGGTGCGGTAATCATCCTCGTCGCTGTGTGCCGGGGATCTGTGGGGAGATGAGCCGTTCAAGGTGTGCCCCTGGTTTCGAGTTCTCAACCTCCTGCCTGAGTTCTCGCCTCGGGGGTCCTCGGTTGGGATCGCCGCGGCGTTCTGGTTCCTCCCGCGAACGTGTCTTGCCGGGGATCTGGTGCGTTCTCGTGTCGCCTGTGGGCGGTGTCTCTCCAACCGGGGTTGGCGGTTTCTGGGTCGAGGTGAGGGACTTCTCGAACCTCCGTTCTGGTCTTCCCGCTGGGGGTACCTCGGAGGGCCGATGCGTTCTAATGCTCCAATTCTCGCATTTTGTTGGAACAGCAGCTGGTTCGTCTGGTTGATGGCCGTAAAGAGAGCGGCCACCGTCGGGTCTGCTCCCGCCGGGATGGGAACGGGGTGGAATGCTGGCGGGCTCGGGGGGCGGTGATCGGCCTGAAGGGGCCGTTCCGCGGATGATGGTGAAGCAGTTTGCCCGTCCCTTTCGTCGGCTTCCGTCGGACGTGTCGTTCCTGTCTGCTTCCCATTGGTGGCGACGTTGAGCGCAAGGTCGTGCGGAGTGTCGTCGCGGTGTGGACTAGCCATGATCGTGGAGGTTTGGTGAAACTTTTGGTTTTCTGCTCGGAGTAACAGGGAAGTTTCAGTTTCCCACAGACGGCGCCACTGATCTGACCTGATCAGGAGGGGATCACGGGCTGGCCACACACTGCTGGGCTGCTACCTGTTCACCGGTGATGAGGAGGAGAGAGGGGGGTGTACCTGCAAGATACTCCGATGCCAAAGTAAGAAATTGGACAGAGTGAGAGCAAAGTACCGAAAAGGGCAAGATGTGAATTACCTGACCCTCTTGAGGAAGAGGGTATTTATAGAGAGACCCCAGCGCTGAGCCAACGGTCATTTGAGATGGGCTGGATGACCAGGCCCAACCGTAATGACTGCTAGGGCTTACGTGGCGTAGTGAAGACCAAAACGTGGTCTTCGCCCTAGTCCAACCGCTCCTAGATCTCCGGAAAGTGGGTTTGACCTGCTCTTTCGAAGGTGGGCAGTTGGTTGATGACGTGTCCCCGCGGAGGGGGGCACGTGGAGAACGTGCGCCGAGCACGTTATTCTCCCCGCGGAGGGGAGCTCGGGAGGTACCCCGGAGCATTGTTCTCCCCGCGGAGGGGAGAAACCACGGTCGCGCTTTGGTGAGCCGGGGACGGTCCTGCTCGTCTGGTGGATGGTGAAAGGTTGTTGGGGTGTCGCTTGTGTTCGGCGGCACGCCCTGCTCGTCCCGAAGGGCGCCTGTGCCCGACGTGCCCGATTCGCCTGTTGGGCCGTGCGCGGTATTGGGCCTGCCGAGGTTGGACCCATACCAAAACAAATATTAAATTGTCGTAAAAAAAAATAGAAGGTGAACATTCTGATAACTTTAAAATTAATTGGATACTCCTATCCAACCGATCAAACATTTTGATTTAATGTCACATCATTTTATTATTTTATTTTATTTTTAAAAATATCATTTTGTTTTACAATTTGCATTAAAGTACCGCTAGTCAACTTAAATACATGAATATCAGAAAATTAAAAAAAAAAAAGAAAAAAAAGAAAAAATCAATTGTATGAAAAATTTCCTCGAGCATAAAAATTTGTTGACTGAATTGTTAAATAGAAAAATGAAAAAGGGGTTTGAGAGAAGATAAGGTGTGTATGATCATCCATCATGTCCATACTTTCGCTCACTTTCAACTGCTGGAGTTGTTGTGGTAGTACACGTAGTAGAGCTCGCACCGCATATTCTGCTTCTACCTTCACCACTCTCATTCACAGTTAATTTCTCTCACTCTTATTTCTTTCATATTTTTTTATTGATTTTCCTATTATCACAAACGAAGATAAACCCTAATCAAGAGTTTCCCAGGAAGTAGATATAGGACGTGTTGTTTTGCCAAGAAATCTTTGAAGAAATCCAAAAGAGAAGTACCACCGGAGTCATATGGCGGTGACCTTTTCGATGAGAAATTTGTTCAAAATGACAATTTGGACACTTCTCTTATACCACCTGCTCAGAATGCTAACCCTATTGCTTCCAGAAATGCTGTGCTTCAGGCTTGCGTATTAACTTGTGGTTTTATAGCTACGTTTGGGACAGTCATTCGCCAGGTTCTATTCCTTTTATTGCATTTTTTCAATTACAATGAACAGAACAACTCAAACATAATTCAAAAGTCCATTCGAAAACTAAGTAGTTGAATTTGATTGATAAATCAAATGAGTTGAATATGAAAAATAAATAAATTAGGCTTGTTAACTTAATAACCGTGCATAATTCGATTGGTTAAGCTATATACGCCCATAATTAACTGTATTATATATGCGAATGAATATATGAAGTATATTTTAAAACCTATTCAAAATATTAGCCTCTATTTTCTTTTAATCTAATGGTTTTAATTGATTATTTATATTTTTTAAGTGAGCTAAATATTTCTAAAAATAATTATTCAAATAAAATCTACTTCATATAAAAAATTATATAAAATGATTAAAGAATAAACTTTTTTTATTTAATAAAAATCTTATATCATATAAAAGTATAAGGATTTTTGAAAAAAAGTTAAATTTCAATCTTATAACTTTTATTTTATATAAATATTTTTATTTTAAAAAAAATATTAATTTAAAATGTTAAATATATAAAAGAATAGATTTAAAAAAATGATTTTTAAGTCTGTGGAGCAAGCTAAATCTAACTAGATGAACCTAGCGAGTTGAATTGATTTGTTCGTGAATTTAAAATGAGTCGAGCTTAAGATTAAAAAAAGTTTGGATCGAATTCGAGTAGAGTTTTGAGCTAAACCAATTCTTATCGAGTCGATATGAGGCGAGTTCGACTCGACTCAATTCATTTTCAGCCGTAATTCTATTGTATTGTCAATTTTAACTATATAAACATGCATATACAAGATATCTATGTTTCATTTTGCCATCGTAGAAGTTGTTTTAGTTTAATTTGATCTTTCTTAACCCATTAGCAAGGAGACGATGAATTGAGGTTGAAAGTTATATTAGTAAGAATCAAGCTCTATGGGAAGGAGAGTTCTTAAATTTATGAACATATCATTCAAGGTTGTTTGTTAGCCGTGGAAATTTATCTAGTTATTGCAACTTGCAGGTGTCTCATGTTGTGCGAATAGAAGGATTGCCGGTCTTGGATTGCTCTACGGAAGTATCATGTATGACGCTCTTTTTTTTACTTATTCATGCTGTTTTTTGTTTTTTCAAACTTCTGCGAATTCTCTTTAATCCGAATTCATAAAAAGATAATGTGAATAAAGAACTATTTGTGAGCTCCTAATTGCATAAAAGATACGTTATTCTCAAATATAAAGTAGTACTGGTGTTAGTGGCATACTGAAATGCATATTGCAATTTTGGGTTTTCATGTGGTATGTCGGGGAAAATTATCGAACTTGAAGGTTGATAGTTTGCGAATTTTCAACCCATAAGGCTTGAAAGAAAGTACAATTTTTCGTCTGTGTGCGTGGAATGTTCTTAATAATTAGAAAAAAGTTAGACATGTTCAGGTATTTTTATTGTGAGTTGTGATTTTTTCATGAACACTGGCATCTAATCTTAAACACCTGAAATGACGTTTAATGGATCTAAGCGTGATTTATGTCGAGTTCCTGTAATGAGCTTGTTCTTGTGGTAAATGCTTGAGAAATGTGTTGAAAATGTTTATTATTTGTCTCTTATTTGCAGTTGGTTTTGAAATGTGGCATCTTGAGTTAATTACAGGACTTTTAGTATTAATATCATCGAGCCGCTATTTGTTATTGAAGACCTGGCCAGATTTTGCCGAGTCCAGTGAAGCAGCCAATAGACAGGTAACTGAAAATATTTTAAATCTGTCCTGCCTTTGGTAACTTTTTGTTTGTCAATTTTGTGTTTCTTAACTCTGAAAATATTTTGTTTTCCCAATCAGGTCCTTAGCTCACTCCAACCTTTGGATTATATTGTCGTTGCAGTTTTGCCTGGAATTAGCGAGGTTAAAACATAGCTCTACTCATCTCGGCTTACTTTACCATTCTTATTTAGTTTTCATTATTTAACCTAAAATGACATCTTATCATCTTGAATTCCAGGAACTACTTTTTCGCGGTGCAGTTCTCCCACTTTTGGGAATGAACTGGCAGAGTATTGGCGTAGCAGCTTTAATCTTTGGTGTTTTGCACATAGGTGCCGGTCGAAAGTATTCCTTTGCCATCTGGTGCATATCTTTCTAAATTCTTCCCCCCGCCTCCCACTTCCTTTTCCTTATCCCTAATTTTTGAAAATTGGATTGCTGATTCAGATTCGTTTTATTATATCCTCTCCAAGGCCAGGAGATCACAACCATTTTTTCATTGTTGTGTTGTTAATCATAATCTAATTGGAATCATTTTTTTCTTTCCATCAGGGCAACCTTTGTTGGTCTTGCTTATGGATATGCTACAGTTTTATCTTCTAGCCTTGTAGTTCCCATGGCTTCTCATGCAGTGAACAACCTGATAGGAGGACTTTTATGGAAGTACACATCAAAGGTTGCCCTGATGGAAGAAAAAGAAGATACCAATCCTTTATAATCGTCCCCGTCCCTGTCTAAATTTGGTTTTATGCATACAAGAATTATGGTACAAATGCAGTCTCCATTTTTTTAGAAAAAAAAAATTTGGTCGAAACCTATGCGCTCGATCTATTTACAGTAAATTGTTAACTGAAATTCATAATAATAAAACTAGATCAGTTGGTTTGGTTAATGCTGTTAATTGTATTATACCATATATGGAAAATGGCCTCATTCCTTTGGGACTAGCCCATCATTTTCTGTCACCCTTTAAAGGAATATTCCTCTAAAAATAAAAGGGAAAACAAAAACAGAAAAACCAAATCAGCCGCGTGTTGTATGAGTGGGCCAACCAGGAATGTAATAACAGCTTGCATTCCGCATCGTTTCTTATTCTTCACCTCTCTTATAAAATCTTACATTTCCAACCTGTTTTTTAATTCATTTCATTCTCTTCTTCGTTCTTTATTTTTTCTCTTCTGTCTCTTCTTTGTTGTCTATATTCCTTTTCCCTTTCAGAAATTTGGGTAAACCACCAATCATCGAAAGCTTCAAATACTATGGCTTCGGTAAGTCCTCTGTCCAAACCAATGATTTCATGCAATTTTCACAATTTAACATAAATGAATCATCTTTCTCTTATCATGTACAAAAGGGTATCTGGATCATCACAATTTAATCAATGTTTTGAATTTATGCATATGCAGTATGAACAGCAAGGAAAGCCTTTACCCAAATTCGGGGAATGGGATGTAAACGATCCCGCATCAGCGGAAGGATTCACTGTTATATTCAACAAAGCAAGAGATGAGAAAAAAACTGGCGGAGGAGGATCCACCCGAATTAATTCACAGCGAAGATCTGATTCGCGCAAGGAAGATGATAAATCCGGCAAGGTAAAACATATTAATTCAATTGATTACATCAATTTATTTTCTAACAATAGGGTCTGTTATGATTTATGAAGGTGAAGTTTGATAGTTACATACATATTCTTTTGATGCAGAAAAAGTGGTTTTGCTTCAAACCATAGACAAACAAGGATATGTGCTCTGGTGCAAAGAACATATGATTCCTATCAGTTTTCTTTTGAGTTGTTTTGAGGCTACATCTGTCGCGAAACCAGAGAATACATTAAAAAAAAACAAAACAAATAATCATCGTAGTTTTTAGTTTAGTTTTGTTTACTTTTTCTTTGCCACCTAATACATACCATGGATCTATCTATCTTGTAACTTGTAATACCCTCCAGCCCAAAAAAGTTATAATATAAATATATGTGAATAGGTGAATGAATGAAAGCAGATGCTATTGTTACTTTTTTTTCATGTTTTTGTGCTGAATTTTTGTATATTTTGCTTTTGTTTTATTATTGAGGAATCTTCTATTTAAATATGGGGATTGGGAGTGGGATTGGTGTGGTTGAATGAAGACAAAATGGTAACAGCAGGCAGCATGATGTTGCTGACCATGACTGATAATGGTAATGGTATATGCAATTTATAATACATAATTTAGGGTACTGTGTTATAATAATGATGAGTAATAGCTTAGTATTATTTTCAATTGATTGACTTGAAATAGAATGTGTTATTAAATGATTGATTAGGAAGGTGAAACATGGTGCTTATTTCTTATTGTTTTCATATTGGACTATTGGCAACGAAAATCAATATTTAAACTACTTGTAAGCTTGGTGGTTAGTTTGTTTTTAATATTAAAATTTTTAACATGGACTTTTAGAACACTTGTTAGCATCCACATTGTAATTCCTTTATGTTTCTTACAATTGCTGAAAATCTCCATAAATATCTCCAATTTATTGCGTTTGTGTTTCCATTTGTACTCATTTTAAAATTGTCCTTGTATTTTCTTCTCATCTCCTTGAATTTGTGTTTATATATGACATAAATGGAAATGATTGAGAAATTGAAAACTTAGGGAATGTTTCAAGAAAATATAACGAATTGGAACAAAAAATTTATTAAATTAATTTAGATATTTTACAACGGAATAAAATAAGTTCTTCATTACATTCAATCTGACAAGTTTTTGTTCACCACAAATTGGTGAAGAAAAAAAAATAATAAGTGATGAAATAAAATGAAATCAATTCCACTCAATTTCATTCTACTCTATCCAATTTTAATAAATTCAAACAATAAAATTTAGTTCTATTTCACCCCCACACTACTCAATTGGGTTTCATTCCATCAAACAAAATAAAATTTTAGACAATTAAAATTTATTAACTTAAAAAAATATTAGAGTATTAGAGAAATTGAGGAATATTGCATACAATACATAAATAATATAAATAGAAATGGTGGTTGTGGTTTGGAAATCACCCTTTGAAAATGAAATTCAGCAAAACCTCAAGTGTAATCAAAATAGCTGATCATTTCTTAAAGTTAACACAACAAAACTTAGTTTGTTGTGAAACGATGTCGTTAATAACAAAACAAATTATGAGATAAAGATTGCGTTTTTTGAGCAAACACAATAAAATCTATTAGATTTTACGAAAGAAGGAGATAAAAGAAGAAGAAGAATATAAATTGGTTAAAATTATTTTACTATTCACTTTTTCAATAAGGGTTCAGAGATTACAAGTGAATACTAACAATTAAACTCTCTCAACAACTTAAGAGAACTAGTCTATTTATAGACTATTAAGCTAACTTAGGCTACAAGCTAACTTAACAATTGAGCTTACAAGAAAGGGCAAATTCGACATGCTAACTTAAACACAAAGATAACATATTACGATAGCATGCTTGAACAGACTTCGGCTACAACATGCATAACTCCTATCGAACCATGAAGCTACCCTTGTCGACACTAGAGTTCGATCCAAATATCACAAATCTCAACCTTGGAACAAAGTCTATACTAACAAGGGAACAAACTAACTTTCATCATGCAACTTTATCAACTACATACAATGGAAAATTTTACTACTTGACAATGTCTTGGTGATCATATCAGCAACATTGGCATCAGTCGAAACCTCAACACTTGGACTTTTTCACGCTCGATTATCTCTCTGGCGAAGTGCAACCTCACATCGATGTGCTTGGTTCACTCATGATATAGGATGAATTCTTCGACAAGTGTATTGCATTTTGACTACCACATTTAACAGTGATAACTCGACCTTGAAGTTTCAGCTCCTTAGTAACACTTTCAAGCCACAATGCTTCTTTCACAGCTTCAGTGAAGGCGATATACTTCACTTCAATGGTTGATAAGGCAACAACCTTCTAAACTATTGTTATTTTACTCAGTATCCACTCGAGGGTCGACATTAATCTTCTATTTTACTTTCCAAGCATCTTTCTTCCTGTTTAGACAAATTCAGAGTCTTCTTCGTATCTAATTGACTTCTAACTTGAAAGTATGAACACTATGACAATTCACCTTACTAGGTTTAAGCAATTAGATAGGGACAAATGTCATACCCCAAATTTGTCCTACATGTATAATACTACCTTCATTTATGTTCCTGTTTACTAACCATTATTCAAAAATTCAAAAATATGTTGCTTTTGCTTTCATTTTTCTTGTTGCCTAAGTCCAAGTTGTTGCAAGGTCGAATTGGGTTTCAGACAAGGCTATCAGGGCAAGTGTGTGTGCAGTAAGAGTTGAGGTTCAAGTGAGTTTGACCTAGTCTTGGTCAAACAAGAATGATATTTCTTCATTCTCAAGATTGATTTGTCATGGATCAGTGTCTCATATATGAAGATCATCAATTCATTTCCAAACTAGGGTTTTGTGCAAATTCCAGTCATTTGATAAAAATCAGTTTCAATGCAGTTCACTTATCAAGTCACAGTTCTCTGATTTCAAGGCATTTTTTGATTTCTCAGAGTACAAGTGGTAAAGCCCAAGGGTTAATTCACCGGTGGATTCATTTTGATTCAAGGTTCTGATTCATTTCAAATTTAAGGTGGATTCATGTGTTGTTTCAAGGATCAATTTAAGTTCTAATTCATTTCAAGTGAAGAAGTTAGGAGTATTAAAATTTGATTTTAGTTGGAATTTCAAGATTTAATGATCATGATTTGAATCAAGTCAATGACAAAGTCAAAGGTTGGTTTAAACATAGAGGTGCAAAAGTCAAAGATTTCTAATGTGCAAAGCCCATGCTACAATCTACAAGTTCCAAATTCAGCCCATTTGTATTTTCATTACAAGAAAGATCAACAAAAAGGCTCAGTCACATTGTCCATTTTGTACAAGTCCATTGTTACAAAAATTGCAAAAAATGAAATGAAGAAAAGCAAGTCTACATACAACATGCTACTACTACATGAAAATCAAACAAGCTACAATTACAAGCAATTTCCAATGCAAGCTACAAATTTCCATGAGCCACTTTCAACAAATCACAATGTACACCTTAACCTGCAAGCCATGAAATGCCAAGCTACAACCATAACAAATACACAACACAAGTCTTGTAAAATGCCAAGCTACAACCATACCGAAATCAACACAATGCCAAGCTTTTCCACAATATTCCAAACCAATTTCCAGCCATGAATAAAAATTATTTTCCAGCACAAGCCACAAACATGAGCAACAACAACTTCAGTATAACATGAAGGTCCCATACAAGCCATCAGCCACACTCATCACACGTGATATCAAGTCGAACAACAATAACAACAAGCTGCTACAAACCAATACCAATTTCCAAGCCATTGACGGCCAACCTTCATTCAGCAAACCCCACAGAAAACAAATCCACAACATACGCACTTGAGCCACTATGCAAAATACGCACAATACGCAAACCTTCCAAAGGCAAATATGATAGCAACAATACCAATGCGCAGGCAAAACGAAAATAAGACATCAACTTCACAAAATCAGCACAAAACGTTAATGAGATCTCCAATTCACTCACCTCAATCTCCACTATAAATACAACATACCCTCTTTATTCTCTCGCAAGCTCTAACGCCAAAGTCATTCTGCTGCAAATTCATCCAATAACCCACACTCACAACACCTAATTCGCATAAAACAACCCAACAACCTGCAATAATACACCACAATTCTACAACACAAAACTCTACACAAAAATCATCCTCACACAAACCTTCAAACTAAATCAACTTAACACAAAATACAACAAACCAACGCTCATCTTCTTCACAACCTTCAACAACATTCACTACAAAAACCAACCATCCCAAACCAATAACAACAACCATTGAAACAACTAATAGAGTTTTGTAAGAGGAGCATATTTCAAGAGAGAATTGTATTTTGTATTCATTGAAATCAACTATTACTGATACACTGCAATGCTTTATATACTGAAAGCAAAGCATAACAGAATGGTAGTTTCAGCATAACTAACTTTATCAGTTAGTTATGACTTACAACAGAATGCATAACTAACTCTAGTCTATACTCTAATATTTCCCCTTCAAATGCTGCTACTCTGAGAGTTGTTAGTTGCAGCCTTGAAGTGAGGATTTGTCTACAACCTTCAAGTGATCTTTGAGCGTGAGAAATCTAGGAGTTGAAAGAGGTTTAGTTAAAATATCAGTTGTTTGTGAAATGGCTGAAATATGCTTGACTGCCAAGGTGTTGCTAAGCACCTTTTTCCCTTAAGAAAAAGATATCCAGCTCCATGTGTTTGGTTTTGGCATGTAGGACAGGATTGTGTGAGAGAGCAACAGTGTTTAGGTTATCATAAAGCAGAAGAGGAGTTTGGGATGGAATCTGAAGTTCTGCTAGTAGTGATTTGATCCACAAAACTTCTGCACCAGTACTAGTTAAACTCTTGTATTCTGCTTCAGTGCTGGATCTGGCAACTAGAGTCTGCTTTTTAGACCACCAGGAAACCAAATTAGAATCAATGAATATACAGGACCATGATGTAGATTTTTTATCATCAGGGTCAGAACCCCAATCAGCATCAGAATAAGCTGTGATAGACACAAAAGGTGAGGCAGTGTAAGGAGACATTTGCAGACCATGATGAAGTGTACCTCTGAGGTACCTAAGTATTCTCTT